GCAATCCCTATCAAAATCGCAGCTGGCCCATTGCAGTAATTGATGAGCTGATCCTAAAGTTTCTATGGAAAAGCAAGGGACACAAAATAGCCAAAACAATCATGAAAAAGAACAAAGTTGGCCAGGCGCGGTGGCTCAAACCTGTAATCCTAGCACTTTGGGAGGCTGAGGTGGGTGGATCACCTGAGGTCAGGAGTTCGAGACCAGCCTGACCAACTTGGAGAAACCCCGTCTTTACTGAAAATACAAAATTAGCCGGGCGTGGTGGCGCATGCCTGTAATCCCAGCTACTTGGGAGGCTGAGACAGGAGAAATGCTTGAACCCGGGAGGTGGAAGTTGCAGCGAGCTGAGATCACGCCATTGCACTCCAGCCTGGGCAACAAGAGTGAACTCCGTCTCAAAAAAAAAACAAAGAACAAAGTTGTACAACTTACAACTTACAACAAGTTAATGATGGCAGTTTTCTGAGGGCTGCAATGATGGTGCCCCCCTCTAGAGAGGGTTTGGGCTTATTTGCTTCTGCGGGGGCCTGTCCATGGTGATCAGTTTAAACTTGGGGTTTCCCTGGGTCCATCCGGGTCATGTGAATTTGGGCTATGAATCCACAAGAAGGTCAGCCTGTGCTTATGACCTCTCAGAGAGGGGTCCCCCTCCCTGCTCAGTGCCAGGTCCCATTCCTCCTAGTTGGCCGAGGGTGAAGAGTTATTTCTGGTTCACCTGCCTCTGAATGTCAGTTTATGGGGCCTTTCATTGGACTTCTCATCTTGGCCTTTATCCACCCCCAGTTTTCCAGGCTGGGAAGATGCCTCCAGGGCAACAAATCCATGGCCCCCTGGGTTCTGCTCCATCTCGTCTTTAGCTTGATAATTTCTTGCCATCTTGTCAGCTCCTTGATGATTTTATGAATGTATTGTTTATACTTTATCCAGGCTTTCAGTTGTTTTCAGTAGAAAGTTTGTCCAGACATCTGCCATATGACTGGACATGGACGTGTGTCTGCTTATCTTCTCTACAAGGATATAGTGAGGCTTGTATAAGGCTTTTACAGAAACCACCGCAAGTGGTGTCCATCAGAAGCTGTGGGTGGTGCCCGGGTGTCAGGACCCTGGGCTATTGTCCAGGCTGTCGCTAACAAACTGTGGGATTTTAGGTGAAGGTGTGGCCTCTCTAACATCGCTTTTATGGAAGGAAGGACACATGCCCTGAGGTGGCTGGGGGCCAAGTGGGCTTGTCCCTGTGAGGTCCCAGCTGTGTCTGTGGATGGCTGAGCAGGAGGTGGTGGGCAGTGGTTTTTACCCCCAAGTTTCCTAGTGCCCAGTGAGCCCTCATGGGCTTTGGGAAGCGGAGGAAACCCCAGCATGGAGCTGACTGCCCACTGTGGGAAAGCTAGCCTCTGTAGGCTTCTGCCACTTCTGATAGTGTGGGGAGGACCGCAAGGAGCGGGGTTGATTGTCCAGGGCACCTGCTTTCCCTTGGGGACTGTCAGCTTCTTTGCCCACAGCTCACACTGCTTCAACGGCTACCATCCTGGGGTCCTCGCATTCATGGCACAAATGCTGCTGTGGACCTCCTGACACCAGGCCTGAGCTGGGAGGAGGGGAGATGCACATAGCAGAGTCTCGACAGCAGGGGCGCAGTGGGGCCCAGCCGCCAAGGAGAGGGGTGAGGTGGGGGTGTTGGTGGAGGCTGTGGATTTCCTCCTAGGGAGATGGGAGTGGGCACTCCCAGCTGAGGAAGTGGACAAGGCCCAATGAGAGCAGACAGGATGAGGAGCACCTTGCTTTGGCTGGAGGAGTGAGCCAGGAGGGTCTTGGGTGCTGTGGGTGAAGACAGCAGGCCGGCATGCACAGATGACTACCCCAGAGCTGTGTGACCCTGGGAGACCTTTCTGGGCATCAGCCTCCCCATCTGTGTAGTGGCTGTTATAGTGCCCTTGGGGGCTCCTGTGATGCCTGGGACAGGTGATGGGGCTTAGGGGCCAGGGAAAGTACAGGCTGGGTCCTCAGGGACCTCCTGACTCCCCTGGCCTCAGCAAGCCCTCAGGTGTGCGACTGGCCACTGTCCCCACACTGGCTGCTGTTCTTGGCCCGTCTCTGGGCCATTGACTGGTATTTGCTGAAGCTGTGTTGCTTTGGGCACCTGGACCCATCTTGCTCCATGCTCCTCCTGCTACCTGGGCAGCTCAAGTCCTCTTAGATGATCCTGATGGGGCCTGTGCATTTTTTAGCCCCTGATAGCTACTGCACCATCCCCTTCAGTGGCCCTAATGCAGCCCTGGTCATGCCCCCTTCCTGCCACTGACATTGGAGCTCAGGTCTCCTTCTGACTGTGGCTGCCTGTACACGCAGCCCCTGTGTGGCCTGTGCATCTTGGTAAGACTTCCTGACACTCTGTCCTGGATTCTGCCCCATCTATTATATGCTGTATCTTCAATCACTCCCCTAGTTGGACTGAGATCCCTATGTCTTCCTCTTGCCCCCTGGACCCCACATGGCAGGTCCTCTGAAGACAGGAACCAGATCCTCTCCCTTTCCCCTTGTCCAAGGATCCAACACAGTTCGCAACACATGACAGCGGTGGTCCAGCATGTTTTGCTAATCTTTGGATAAAATTCACTGGGTTGACAGTGGGTACTGAGCCACCATCTCCATGTGCAGACCCTGTGGAACCATGTGGGGGACCTGTGCTACATGCAGGGATGGGACAGATACAGAATGACCACATGAGCACATGGCCCTTCTGTGAAGAGATGTGAGCGCCCCAGAGGCTCACTCAGGGGACCAGGGCCCTAAGTGGGGTATGTGGCCTTTCAGAGAAGCCAGGCCTGCAGCTGTGCTGATGAGACAAGTGAATGTGGGGGTCAGGGACATTCCAGGTGCTGAAAACCATGCAGAGTGGCCAGAAGGCCCTGAAAGACCTGTTCTGGGAGAGCCAGTCACTGACCCTGTGTCCAGGGGCCGTGGTGGGGACTTCACCCAGCCTGTGTCCTTGCCATCTGCTTACACATGGCAGCGGGCCGACCACTGAGCCATAGTCTGTGTGCTTCCCATCCCCGGGGTTCCCTGGGGCCTCAAGATGCCCTGGGTCCTGGGGAAGCTTGCATGGACAGAAGGGGAGGTGCAAGTGCCCACACAGGCTTCTGGGACCTGTGAGTCTCCTATCCAACTTTACCAGCTGTGACCCCCAGGGGCCCTTCTCAGTGCTGTCAGCCTGTATTCTGAGGTATAGGTTTGGGCAGTCACAAAGGGAAGAAGGTGCCTTGAGTCTGGGAACCCATGACCCTGAACAGCTGGCAAGCCCTTTTGTGTTCTCCTCTGTGGGCTTCCAGTTAACACCTGTCCTCCGTATGTGCTCCAGGTGTCCTGCTGCAGGTGGGGGTGGGCTGAGCATGCCAGTTCCCTTAACCCTGGGATCTGGACCCCTCCAGCCTTCCTTTGGCCTCAGACAAGCCACTCCCTTTTGCTGGCGTCAGGCCCTTGTTCAACCAAGGGGCTCCCAGGGTCTTCCCTAATGTTAGGATTAAGCAGGCTATGCCTCTTGAGGAGTGTCTGGGGTGCTGTGGTCTGGTGGAGCAGGTCACTGCACCAGAAGGTGGTCCTGTCTAAACGTGCCATTTCCATATTAAAGTGACTTATTCAGCACTTGCTCAGTGCCCATGGTGAGCCACACGCATGGAAGAAGATCAGACTCTGAAATGCTCACTGCTTTCCCTATCATTGAGCCAAGACTTATTGAGGGAATGAATGAATGATACATTCCTGGATGGTGGCACTAAGCATTTCAGACCTAAGTTAGCCAGCTCAACCTCCTTGTGGGTGGGGCCTGTATCCCTCATCTTGCGGATGGGGAAACTGAGGTTGAGCTGGTAACCAGTGCAGTGTGGGTGTGAGCCAGGTCTGTCCCCTGTCAATCTGGAACCATTTTCTTGTCTGCTTCTTCATGGTATTTCCTCTAGCCCAGCACCAGCCGCGGGAACACAGATGACAGGGCTGTGTACACACATGCACATGTAAACATACACATACACACTAAGACATAGATGGCAGGGCTGTGCACCTACACACACACATGCTCACACACCAAGACACAGACAGCAGGGCTGTGCATGCGCACATGCACACACACACACACACACACACATACACACACCCCAGACACATATGCCTGGGCTCTCTCTTGAGTATATGATGAGCGCCAAAGCAGAGGTCAGGTGGGGGAAGTTTAGGAGCAGGGAGGTCCTGTCATCTGGAAATGAGATGACCGTGGAGACAGCCCCTGAAGGGCAGGGGGCGCTACTCAGTGAGAGGGAGGATGTCCCCCATGGGGAAATGTGTGGAGCAAAGGCATGAGGTGGAAGGGGAGGGGATGTTTTGGTGGGCAGAGGTTGGGAAGGGCAGTGGGGAAATCCTGGGACAAGCAGCTCGTGTCAGACCCTGAGAAAGTCCAAAGGACTCATTCCCATTGCTGGCAATATGAGTCCCTGCAGTGGCCTCAGCCCCTGGTTTTTCCCAGAATCGGAGGGGGGCTTTGACCGGGAGGGGGTGGTCCCTACTGGCCTGGAGCCCTCCTCTGCTACCCCTGCAGGCACTGGGATGGTCCCCAGGTCTTAGAGTCCTCAGGATGTTCCCAGGCTCCTGGGACTCCTAAGCTGGAACTGGAGCCTCTTTGCCAGCCCTGATCTGCCCGAGACTCTCTCACCACCTCCCAAGGAGTTTGGCCCAGGGTCTCACTGCCTGATGCCTCCCTGTGTCACTGCCTGTGAGGCGGTAAAGTGAAAAAGTGGACTTGTCCTGTCTTGAGGACAGGTCCCTGTGTGGAGCCTCCTTTCTGCACTGACAGGTAGGTCAGGGTGGAGGGTGGAGGACCCCACTGGAAAGGTCTCAGGCTTGCAAATGGAGCTTTGCTAGTGAGTCCTCAAGTTAAGGCCCCTCGGGCCTCCCCTGTCCTGGCACCCCCAGTGTGAACTGCAGTGGAATTCTCACGACTGTCCCCTCTCCAGGTGGGTGTCCCAGAGCGGGCGGCTGCAACGAGACAGGCCTGTTGGAGAGGCTGCCCCTGTGTGGGAAGGCTTTCGCAGACATGATGGGCAAGGTGGACGTCTGGAAGTGGTGCAACCTGTCCGAGTTCATCGTGTGAGTGCCACTGCTGGGCGTGGGATTTGCTCTGACCACAGGGCTGCCCAATGCCCAATCACTGCCTGACTGCAGCCCGACCGCACTCTACCCAAGGCCTCACCCATGCCCCACCCACAACCCACTGTAGGCTGCCCACAGCCCTTTCATGTGCTGCCCCACACTTTGCCCAGGACCCCAACCACGCCCCTATTCACACTCTGCCCTTGGTTCTTGGCTCTGGCCACCCCACTCACATCCCGCTGGCACATCACTCATGGCCCCACCCGTGCCCCACCCCTGCCCGCGGCATTTGTGCTCCCCACACCCACAGCGCATTGCCAGCTTCCTATCCCCCATTCCGCATCCTCACTCTGATGTTATAGCAATTCTACACTGTGTCTCTGCTTCTCCCTTTCCTCTGTTATTTGGGAATCCTCCCCATGCCTGCTTTTCCTCCTGTTCCAGATTAGTGCCATGCCCTGGGAGTGTCCAGTTCGGGGGTTCCCTGGCCTGGGGGTGCCCTGTCTGGGGGGTGCTCTGCCTGGAGGGTGCCCTGCCCAGGGAGTGTCCAGTTTGGGAGTGGCCTGGCCTGGGGCCGGTGCTACCCTACCCCGGGGGGTGCCCTGGCCTGGGGGATGCGTTGCCTGGAAGGTGTTCCACCTCTTCTTGCAGCTGGAGCTGGGTGGACCTTGTTATGTGTGTCTTTCTTACAGCACCAGTCATGGCTGGAACTGTTCTTAGTGGTCAGAGGACTTACAGGAATTGGGTTCCAATGGTTTATACCAGGTGCAATTGTGGACAACATCCCATAGTGAAGGGAAGGCCCCTTGTTCTAGAAGCTTCCCAAGTTTTTTTATCTCTTTACCTCCTTGGAAATCACTCATGGCCTCACAGTCCTCTGCCCCACCCCACTCCACCTCTGGCTTTGCAGTCTTGTGCCACTCCCTGGTGGCTGCTGCCAGACCCAAACTGTGCTGGCCTCATGCTTTTGCATGTTAGCACCCCAGCCTCTGCCCTCTGTAGAGACACTGACCATGGCCCTGCCCCAGGAAGCCTCCCCGGCCCTGGCCATTCTGGTGGCCCAGCAGATGGGGGCTCCTTGAGGCTGTCACATCTGCAGCCCCACTGCCTGGGGAAACTGCTTGCTGAACCAAGTGGAACGGAATTCTGAGTCTGCTGGGAAGGGGTGCTGGGATACAGGAAAGGGTTTTGCAGGCTCCTCCTGGTCCTCAGTGAGCCTGGACACAGGCGTGGAATGGAGCCACAGGTGGGGGTGGAGTCAGGGAGGAGGAGGTCATAGCTTCTAGCTTCTGGTCTCACTCTTCTCTGTAACCTGCTAAAGCCTCAGTAAAGAGACTAAATAGAGACGTCCAGCCCTGGGTTGGGAGGACAGGAGTGGAGGCAACCCGATGGGCATTTAGGAGTCAGCGAGTGAGTGGGCAAGAGCCACTGACTGAGCGCCCTTGGTGAAGTCAGACCTGATGCTGGAAAAGGGGAGCTGGGAACAGCCAGGTTGACACTGCGGAGGCCTCCTGAGACCCGGCTGGCAGCACCAGCTCCCAAGAGAGTGGCAAGAGTGGCTGAGAAGCAGTGAGGTGTCCAGAGCCCTCCTCCACCCCAGCTGGACACTGGAGGTGTATTCTTGGAGCTGGCGACACCAGGGTTTCTGGGCCTTCCCATGTAATTGAGAACGTGTCATAGTGTCCCAGAGAGGGAGGCTGGAGAAAGCGGCTGACATGCATTGTCTTTTGCCACTGGGTCCAGGAGGGTGGTCTAGGGTAGGATTGGAGCTGTCCTTTCTGAAGAGTGAGACCATCCAAGAGGAAGGACCTAGAAGCAGTGACCCCCCACCAACTCCTGGAAGCTCTGGGAACAAGCCTTTCTGCAGGGTCCCAGTGTCTCATCAACTCTCAGTCCCTACTCCCCGTCACAAGTGTCCAAGCGGGGTCCCTGGACATCTGATCTAAGGCTCTGACCCTGAAGGACAGAGACCAGAGAGATGGAACCAAGCAACCCCGGGGCCATGCACCAAGAAGAAAACGCCAAACGTCACAACTGGTATCTTCAGAGGGCAAACAACTATCTCTCATGTGATGAATGAGAACAAAGAAAGAGCCTTAGAAATGGAGGATGCGACAGAAGTGAAATGGAATAGAAAGATTGGAAGGGAGATGTTGAGGAAATCTCCCCAGAATAGGAGAGAGAGAGAAGACGATTAGGAGGTCAGTAGTCAGTCCAGTCAGTAACACCAAGATAGTAGGAATTCTAGAAAGAGAACAGAAGAATGGAGGGATAAAGGGCCCTTGCCAGGGGCTGAGGGCATGAGCTTGCAGCCGGCGAGGGCTTGCCCAGTGCTGACACGAGGGAGGAAAAAGTCCCGCATGGATCCTGGAATATCAGAGCTGTAGAAACAAAGGAAAACTTCTACACCTATCCAAAAGGAGGAAAAAAATGAGCTCCAGGTTGGAGATGAGGGGATCAGAGGCCTTCAGGCTCCCCTACAGCAGCCCTGGAAACCGAGGACTGTGGGATGCAAGGACCTGAGAATTTCAGACTGTGATTTCTTGGCTAGTGTGCTATTTCCTGCCAATTTGTCCACTAAGAGAGAAACGAAAATACTGTCAGATGTGTGGCATCTCCAGCATCTTATTCCCACATACCTTTCTCAAGCTCTGGCGGCTGTGCACCAAGATGTGGAGCAAACCACGACAAAGGAAGCTGTGAGATTTGGGGAGCAGAGCCAAGGCAGGAGAGGGAAGCCTCAGCGAGGGCAGTGCCCCAGCGTGGCAGCACGCACTGGGTGGAGGTGGCCTGGCCCACGTGGAGGGCACCCGATGCTTATCTGACACGGCGACTGCCTGCCCATGCCCTGTAACCCAGCTCAGTCAAGAACGAAGGACACCCCTCTCTTTCCCCTGAATGTTCGTTCTGCTTTGGTTCCCACTGAAGCCAGGGGGGGCCTTGGTGAGCTTAGAGGAGAGGTGGCTTGCTCCCCTCAGTAGGACTGGTCCACATGACGGTCCCATCAGGAGTCATGGCTGCAAAGACCCTATTCCCCAAACTCGCCCATGGCCTGTCTGCCTGTGGCCTTCCCTGGGGAGGGGTCTCATTGCCCCTCGGGGCAACCAAAGTGTGTACTCTCGGGGAACCTCCCTCCAACAGCAGCAATGGGCTCCTTCTGTACCCATTTAAGGAGCATTGCTATGGGATTTCCAAATGCAACACTGTATTGCCTGGGAACACACACTCAGGTGGTGAAACCTAAAGCAAGGTGGGCAAACCCCCCAGAGGTGGGTCGGGGGAGAGGGAGTCTGACTGGGGGGTTTGTCCGGCATCCAGTCTACTGGGTTCCTCTCCTTCCCATCCTGGGTTGTGGTGCATCTTTTTTAGAGAGAGTGCTCTCGGGAGCCGGACTGAAGGAGGAGTGGGGAGGCCCCAGATTATCCAGGGGATGAATAAATCATAAATAGTTCCTGGTTTTCTAGAGAAGCACTGAGTGTGGGCTTCTCTAGAAATGTGACAAACATGCAGATTTCGTGGATCCACAGAGATGGGTGCTGTGCTCAGCTCTGCCCCAAACCTAACAGCTGGGGTGGGCTCACCCCATGACCTGCTCTGTGCCAGGCACTTGCTGGGGCACATGGACCTCAACTCATTTGGTTCTCTCAGCCACCTGATTGGGTAAGTGTTATTAAACCCACTTACAGACAAGGAAACTGAGGTCCAGGGAGGTTAAATGACATGGCCCATATCACAAAGATGGTGAGTGGCTGAGCTGGAGTTGGAGAGGCCCCGTCACGTTGGCTCTGCAACCTGGGCCTGGAGCCACTGTCCATGCTGTCTTCTGGGATTACCTCTGCTCCGTGGGCTTCTCCATATGGCCTAGCTTTGGCTGGGAGTAGGGTTTGGGAACAGCAGGGCTTTCAGCCCTGCCTCACCTCCTCTTGGGACAGTTCTGGGGCTGCACATCACTCCTCTTGCTCTGTAGACTCGCTGTCCACAGAGGGTCTTCTCCAGGGTCTGTCTGGCTCGTCTCAGCCCTGGGGATGGTTGTTGGGGGTGGCATTCCTGGGTAGCAGTTCAGTGGAATGACTTCGGAGGCACAGAGGTTACCGCATGTGATTCTCATCACGCACATAGATGCTGGGAACTTCAGAAGGTGAAGGCTGTTGCACGGTGCTGTTAGATGGCTCCCCAGCTCCTGGATCCGCTGGCAGGGGGTTGGGGTGGACAGCAGGCCACTGAATCTGAGGCCCTGTGGGAGAAGCAGGTCAGGGGAGATGAGGGTTTGTCCATGGACCTAGCTGTTGAGGTGCCTCTAAAGCCTGGGCATGTTTTAGGGGCTGCATCGTGCCTGAGGCCCAGGATAGCCAACAGCTCTGTACTTGGATTCGAGGCTGTTCCTTTTGCTCTGGCTGTTCTCTGCCGACACTACCTGGAAAGGCACAGGTGTGTGTCTGACCTACATTCTAAGGTGCTGAGAGCCAGCCTTGGATCAGTCAGGAGTTGGTCTGAGTAACTGTACCTTGGCTCACCAGACCCTTCCTGGGGCATGGGGTTGGGAGACCAGGAGAACCCTGGGTGGAGTGGGTCAGAGTCCCTGTTTCCCACCGCTTTCTAATGCTTTGGGAAATCTATGCCCAGATAATGTTCCATGCAGGAAGCAGCTCTTTCCTGTTGATGGGCCGGATCAGTGGCTCCCTCCTGGGACAGCACAGGAAGGAGGAGATGGGCTACTTTCCCATGGGGAAGCCAAGGCAGGACCCTTCACACTCCTGCATCTGTCCTCATGCAGCACAGGCGTGGGGAAGTGCTGGCCCTGGACAGAGGGGCTGGCATCTGGGCAAGAGTTCATCTAACTTCTTCTAGAACATCCTGAATGAGTGGCTGCCACTCTAGGCCTTGCAGACCCCAATGACAGGGAGGTCATCACCTCCACAGTCTGCCCATTGGACCAGGTGGTGGCTGGGAAGTCCTTTATGCTGAGTTGACTTCTGGGTCTCTGTGGCTATAGCCCTTGGTCAGCATGAGGACTGTCCAGAGCCTATGCTGGGTGGACATGGAGCATCATGGGTGGTTTGCTGAGTGCCCTTCCCATCTTTGATCTCATGGACAGGGGGGACCCACAGAAGGGGGCTCCACATATCCTGTTAGATGGGGCGAAGGAGGCAACTTCTGAGATGAAGAGGCAGGGACTGGGGCTCACAGGTGTGACTCCCACTTGGCCACCACCTGGCACATGAGGGCAGGCTGACTTGATCAGGAGGTGGCTTGCCCCTGGCCTCAGAGAGAACCTCCTCTTGGGCTCTTAGGGTATCCTGGATGATGAAGGCTTTGCAGGTCCAAGCGGCCGTGATCCAGGCACCCTTTGACCCTGGAGAAGCGTGGCTTGGTGTGTCCTCTGGGCAGACCTGGGTAGTGCTTGGAGGTCCAGGGGAGCTGGGCTGAGACCCTGGATCCTGGGAGCTCATGGCCTCAAAGGCAGCAAGTCATGGTCAAATGGGACTGGACCCAAACCACCCCACCCATCTTCCTGGCCTCAGGTCAGGTCAGGTGTGAGGGGGGATGGCGAGAGCCTGGCTTTCACTCCCTCTGCTTTTGCAGGTACTATGAGAGTTTCACCAACTGCACTGAGATGGAGGCCAACATCGTGGGCTGCTACTGGCCCAACCCCCTGGCCCAGGGCTTCATCACCGGCATCCACAGGCAGTTCTTCTCCAACTGCACCATGGACAAGGTCCACTTGGAGGACCCCCCAGATGAGGTTCTTATCCCGCTGATCATTATCCCTGTTGTTCTGACTGTCGCCATGGCTGGCTTGGTGGTGTGGCGCAGCAAGCGTACCGACACGCTGCTGTGAGGGTCTGGGTGAGATGGAGTGGGGCACACCTGGCAAGCTGGAAGAAAGTTCCCTGGGGATGGGAGAACGGATGGGTGCTGCCAATCTCCAGCTACCGTGGCCACACCCCACGTGGTCATGGGCAGACCCCTCCCTTCCTGGGCTGACCTGCTCCCTTGAGGCCAGCCTGCTCCCTGGCCGAGGCTCAGGCTATCCGCCCAAGCTCTTTGCTCATTCTAGGGCCAGTGAAGGAAAATGTGATAAGGCCAGAGCTTATGTGCTGGGCGCAGAAATCACCTGCTGTGTCCTGTGCTCCGCAGGTTGGGCCGCAGCCTCTGCCCGGAGGTTTCTATGCCATTTCTTAGCACAGAATCCAGCCTAGCCTTAGCTGCAGTCTAGGTCCTGCTTAGACTAGAACTCCTGGCTTGACCCCATCTCCGGTTCTTGCCTTGGCTCCTGCCCCAGCCCCGGCCCCTGCCTACATCCAGACAGAAAGACAGGCAGGGGCTCTTGGAAGACGTTTCATGCTGTGGAAGATGTTCCGTGCTGTGAACTCCGGGCCCTCCTGGTGGGAAGACAGCTGGAAAGGCTGGGAGGAGAAGGGAGGGGCTGGGGGGTTCCCAGGAGCCACGCGTGGCCTGCAGAGTCCATTCCATCATGATGCTGTGCCCACTATGGGCTGTGTCCGTGACCAGAGGCTGGAGTGGAGGTGTGTCACAGCCCCTCACCAGGGCTTGTTGTTGTGTGGATGGGGCCTGGGCCTCCTTCCTACTGGGGCTCCTCTGTGGGTGAGGGGCCCTCTGGAATGGCATACCATGAGCTTGTGGCCTCTATCTGCTACCATCTGCATTTTATCTGAGTAAAGTTACCTTACTTCTGGAATTTCCTGTTTTATTTCGTGTTATTCAGAGAGATGGTGCGTCTCTTGGGTCTGATGAGTCCCCTGTACATATTGTACAGATAGGGAACTCCTGAGGTTCTGGAATCCCAAAATGTCAGTGCTTGGGGGCTCAGAGGGTGTTACAATAGGAGAGGGGCCTGTCAGGAGGAGAAAGTTGCCTAGTTATTGGCAGCCCCCTGGGAACTTCCCACCCCTGACCCGTCGGTTTGAGGATGATGGGGAAGATTTCTTTCTCTTCTGTTTTCTCTTTGCAACTGCTTTGGGCTTGCTAGGACCCCTGCCTGGGTTTTCTGGGGACCGAGAGGCCCTGGCCAGGTCTGGCTGGGGGCAGATGCTGGTCCTGGGGGTCCCTAGAGCGGGTGGAGAGGCTTTATCCCCAGGCCTCTGGCCAGGGTCTTGTCCAGGTTCCAGTTCTGTGGACTTGCGTCTTTTGCATGTGGGCTGTTGGATCCAGCATCTTCTTGCTGGATCCCTGTGAGTGGAGACAGATACGATCCTGGTAGTTCCTCTGCCCTTAGAGGACCAGCTCCCCTTCGATGCCCAGGCAGGCAGGTTCTGGCACTGGGGACCTGCATGGTGGATGCCACTGGACTGGAGGTCTGGGTGGGTGGCCCGAGCCTGACCCCGCTGGGAACACAGTGTGGGGGACAGAATCTGAGTCTACTCTACGTTCTTGGGGCAGCCTCGGCCAGGCATGAATGGTTGGGATCCCCACCACCCAAGCCTTGGCCAGCTATCTCTGAGATGGGACACCATCTGCCTAACGTGGTGACTGTGTGGAGCCTGGGAGGTCAGCGTGCCCACAGGTGTCAGGCCATCTGGCCTGCAGTGGTGCGTCTGTGTTCAGTGGATACTGGGGTCCAGGCTGCTATGGTAGAGGTGCAGCCCTGCCCCTTGGCTCGCATTAGGCACCTCCTGGTTGTGCATCCTTGAAGAAAAGCTTGAAATGTGCTGATGGAATTCCCCCCCCCCCCAAAGCGGACTGGGACACCTGCAGCTACCTCCTAGGTGCCCTGGAACCCAAGTCCTGGAAGCTGCTCCGAGTAGGGAGTGAGCCTGGAGTCACACCCTGGCCACCTCCCAAGCTCTTGGGCACTGTCTTCTGACCTGCTACCTCCTCCCTAGGGACAGGGGTCCTGGGGGGCCTGGTGAGATTTCTGTGAGGGTTTGGATTCCTGGGGATGGGGTGAGGGTCCAATAAGGGGTGTCCTAGAGGCTGGGAGGTCCCAGGGCAGGGCCCTCAAACACTGTTTCCAGGCTAGGTAAAGCGCCAGGCCCTAATTCAGCCAGATGCTGCTCTTGTGGAATGCACTCTGGAGACAGCTTGTGTTTTTCTGCTATGCAGACTCCAAACTTGGCAGGAGTTTCGAGCTCCCTCACCAGGGACAGGGCAAGTGGGTGCAGCTACACTGCTGTGTGGGCAGATCAAGGAGCTGGATAGGGAGCCAGGAGGCCTGTCCACATAACCCTGCAGAGGCTCACAAGGAAGGAAGGGACATCAACATTCACTTAGCCTTGATCAGGTGAAAGAGAAGTAATTATTTAGGGAGTAAGAGGGTATCTATTCGTGTTTCCTATCTGAATCTTCTTTCAATTTTTACTTCTCCATGTGTTTTCTCCAGGGCACGAAGCATCTAGGGTGCCAGGCCCATAAAGGGAAAGTGCTTGTGTGGGTGTATGTGTGTATGTGTGTGAGCGTGTGTGTGAGGGTGTATGTGTGTTGGTGTGTACATGTGAGTGTGCATTGGAGGCAGGGATAGTGTGTGTATTCTAGGAGCTTCCTTATCTAAAAATCTCTTACATTTCATCAGTTTACACAATCATTATTAATGCCCCATTTTGCAGATGTGGAAATTGAGGCTCAGAAATATAAGGGGACTTGCTGATGAGTGGTCTTTTCTGTTTTCTCGGCCTGCTGCCCTTCTGACTCCAGCCCTGAGAGGTGACAACTGCCTTGAGGAGCCCCTCTGGACCCCGGATCTGCATGGGTTTCCTCTAGCCAGAGCGGGTCCCTTCCTGACTGTGGCAAGTTTCGGGCATGCAGAAGGCTGCCGGGGTCCTCTAACAGGGTGACTGGCCCAAGCGCTCAGTCTGGTGCAGCCTTAGTACTCGGGTCATCATGGTGGTTGTGGTGGAGTGCAGCCACAGCCCTGCCTCATGGGGGTGGAGGACTTTTCCCCAAGTCTTTTCTCTGGGCAAACCCAGCTGTGGCCCACAGGTCTCCCTTTCTGGACACACCCACCTCCCTTTCTGGAAGACCCCACCTGCTTCACCCCTTGAAGAAGGAATCAACCCTTAGCCCTGAAAGGCTCCCTGTGGCTCAGCTTCAGGCCTGGACTGGCTGTCAAAGGTGATTAGAATTCGTGTGGGAATGACCGCTCATAGGAAGCAGACGCCATGAGTATGCGTGTGTATATAAGTGTGTGTGAAAGTGTATATTTGTGTGTATATGTGTGAGCATATGTTCATTAGTGTGCATGTGTGTACATGTGAGTGCATATTCCTGAGTGTGTGTGTGACTGTGTGTACAAAGTGTTGGCAACTACGGCCAGATGATGGCTGAGCCCTGTGTGGGTTGTACACATTTGCCACAGTCCATACCCTTTGTCACGTGAAAACATTACTACTTGTAAGTGAGGAGAGTGAATGCCAGCAACTCATGGGGGCTGTTGTGGCTGGGGTGGGGTGTGTCTTTAATCATTTCAGTCCGCCAAGGTTTTTGCACCACTGTGTTGAGAGCTGTGGGGATCACAGAGACATACAGGGCACAGCCTGACCCCCAAGGGTTCCCAGACTTGTTGGAGAGGCAGCTATGCAAGGCCCAAATGCAGTGTGCACAGTGAGTGAGGCAGATGAGAGGTAGGTTCCTCCGGGGACTTTGAGGAATGTTGATGGTTGATGGAGAGGGTTTTTAAGCTGAATCTTTAAGGGCGAGTAGGAGTTTTCCACTGCATGAGAAGAGTGTCATGAGCAAAAGCCCAGCGATGTGCAAGAACATGGCTGTGTGGGTCAGGTGGGACTGAAAGTGTGAGCAGGGCCCAATTTGGGGAGGCAAGAGGGGAAGGTTTGGGGATGAAGGTGTCTGCAAATGCACATTATTTAAGTCATTGATGGCTTCTCTCATGGGGCCTCTGTGTAACTTGCTCCCTCCAGCCCATTCTGATTCCAGAACCACTCTGCACTGGGTGCCATGCAAGGCTCTGGGAGACAGTGGGAAGGGAGCCGCTGTTTCTGCCCTGCAGGAAAGGGAGAGACTGTCCATATCAAAACACGACACGGAACAAGCAGCTGCTGTTTGTACAGTGGCCTTAGCAGAGGCACTTCTGTGGGTTGCAAAGGGTCGTCAATGGAAGTGTGAATTCTTTTTGGCCACCTCACCCCTGACTACTCAGCAAACAAAACCTGGGAGTACACAGGGTTTGTACTGAGGGCAGCTCTTAGAGGGTAGCTGCCTTTATCCTTGGCAGAGGATATCCTGCGGGGGTCTATGGGACCTGCCACTGAGGTCACTGTGGTGGCAGCTGTTGACCTCATTCACTGGAGGCTGAGCCTATGGGAGCATCTTGTTAAGGAGCAGGTGACCTTTATTCCCTGCAATTGCCCCATGTGTGGTCTGCAAGCCAGTTCTCATCATTGAGGAGTGGACTTGCCAGGGTCTGCAGAAGTCATGTTGCCAAAAGGGGAGATCTTTAGAACACAGACCTGCATCTCCATCAGCCCCTGGCAATTACTCATGGCACCCGGGGCAGTCCAGACAACGTGGGGGCCAAGCAGCTGCATTGTGAACGGGGTCCTTGAGGACTCTGACTTCCATCTGAAGAGTGGTTGTGCGAAATTGAGAAGGAAATCTTCTGACCCTGTCTGGCAGGTTTCTGAAGGCCTGAGTACAGCGTGCTCTAAAACAGGCTTCAAGTCCACGCTGAGACTCAGCCCTGAGGACGTGGCCAGTGATGCTCACTTAGGGCCCTCCTGTCCTTACTCACTGGGGGAGGCATTTATTGATGAAATAGATTTTGACTTTTTCAACTGATGGGATTTTGTGCACTTTTAAGACCCCAGTGGGTTGGAGAGGCTTGAAGAGCCTGTGGAATTTCTTCTCATATATATAAAGTGAAAAAGTAGAATATAAAACAATGTAGAGGAACTGCTTCCGAAATGACATGAGAACTTCATGGACCAAACAACCATACCTAGTGCAAATCATAAAAAAACCCCAGACAACTGTTTAAAGTCTCTGGAAATTGTCTTAAGGCTACACAGCAAATGAAACATTTACTACAGAAAATGTGTTAAATCTGGATAAGAACAGGAGCATCTGTAGCACTGGAGCTGTGACTGGTTCACCTGCCCTTCCCCGCCCCCATCCCAGAGTCCCAGAAGACAGGGCTCCCTCTCTCCAGCTCCCAAACAAGGCATCTTGACACGATGCCCCTGGGAGGGGCAGGTTGCCAGCACTGCTCACCCCCACCGCAGCTCTGCGCTGCAGAGACCGAGCTCCAGGCAGGAGTGAGGAGTTGGCTTCCAACAGATCCTTGAGAAGGCGAGGCACTCCTTGTCTACAGCCTCATCCCTGCCTGCTGAGAGCCATGCACTGGGCAGCTACTGGCCGTCTTGATGCCCACTGGCACAGCAGACCATGAGCGCCAGCACACACTCAAATCCCCCACCTCCGTGAGACTACTGGATAAGGTTCCAGGAAGCACGAGAGTTCATGGGCGAGAGGAGTGGGCTGGAGGGTGGGGGCCTGGATTTTCCTGAGGGGTGCTGAGGAGTGAAGTGGGCTGGCCAGAGGCTGCTGGCCCAGGCCTTTTTATAGAAAGCAACGGGAAATATGGGAAGGGTGTGTTAGGGGTGCAGGTTGCATGATGGGGGCGGCACATGGCAGAAGCCAAGGATCTTGAGGGGTCTTGGGCAGAAGGACCAGCCCCACCTCACCCCATGGGTGGGGACAGTGGCGGGGATCTGGGGGCATCCTCTTCAA